GTGATCCATCCAATGTACAGGACTATTTCTAGTTAAGGATACCCGTGATCCATCCAATGTACAGGACTATTTCTAGTTAAGGATACCCGTGATCCATCCAATGTACAGGACTATTTCTAGTTAAGGATACTCGTGATCCATCCAATGTACAGGACTATTTCTAGTTAAGGATACCTGTGATCCATCCAATGAACAGGACTATTTCTGGTTAAGGGTACTCGTGATCCATCCAATGTACAGGACTATTTCTAGTTAAGGATACCTGTGATCCATCCAATGTACAGGACTATTTCTGGTTAAGGGTACTCGTGATCCATCCAATGTACAGTACTATTTCTAGTTAAGGGTACCCATGCAGCAATTATAAATGTAAACAAGAGTTCCACTAAGAGCTTCTTTTTGGATATATTTCCTGTTTGGAGTTATTTCCCCTTTTTAACTTATTCATCTTTGAATTTAATACAGTGTAATTCTTATTCCTTGATAGCAGCATTGGTAAAATATATAACTGGTAAAGAACAAGTGCTCTTGAATATCTGTTTTATTTTTCTTGTTAATTTCCTTTTTGTTTCCTACTAAGACTTTGAACAATTGCTATTCTATGCAATGGACTGCAATATGCGCTACATATGGAATGTGCCTGTAGAAATGAATATGAACACACATTTCATAAAAATTCCTAAACAAATTTAACCTGCATGGTACATTTACTGTTCAGTAACATTTGTGTAAGGGTGCAGTATCACCCATTGACCAAATACCCACTGATTATCCACCAAATACCCACTGATTATCCACCAAATACCCACTGATTGTCCACCAAATACCTACTGATTATCCACCAAATACCAACTGATTATCCACCAAATACCTACTGATTATCCACCGAATACCAACTGATTATCCACCAAATACCCACTGATTATCCACCAAATACCCACTGATTGTCCACCAAATACCCACTGATTGTCCACCAAATACCCACTGATTATCCACCAAATACCCACTGATTATCCACCAAATACACACTGATTGTCCACCATACATGTGCTGAACACTCATCAAATATTCACTCAATTTCCACATATTTCCCCTGAATATCTATTCAATGTTCACAGAATAACCACTAAATATCCACTGAATATTTACCACATATTTATTGAACATATACAAAATTGACCAAGGAGGACGATAGGATAAAGTGCAAGGGTACGTATTTGTGTAATGGTGCATGTATGATAACGAAACAAAAGATGAGACAGGTAATGAACAGGTGAAAAACTGACAGGTATGACAATCAACACTCACTGATTTTGCTGTACACTGTCTCCCAGCGGTCATTGAAGGAGTCTAAATCTGAGCTCATCTGGTCCGGAGACTTTGACCGCTTCACTAGAGACTTGCCGTGGGACGTCATCTGTTCTACACGATCCTCATTGGTCTTCATAGCCTTTAACTTGACCTATAGGGTCAGAGAGATTGTATAGTTAAAGTTGTACCTGTATGTCAGAATGTAAACTCAGAAAAGGTAACAAGAAGTGACTGTTCCCATAATAACCAAGAAAAGCACGTCTTACACTGCTGCCTGGTTTATTTCTATTTTTCAAAATGTTGTTTTGTAGGCAAGGCTTCCAATATTTCCCTTACATTTGGCTGCAAACATTTTGTAGTCTAATCGTGTGACTGATTATGACATTATCGACAGGATCTTTGCTTCATGAAAAACATTCCGAACAAGAAAGTAGCACGATGAGTATCCTATAAGGCCTCTCTAATCCATGGTTGAATTATTACAAAAAATAATTATACAAATTATTTGTTTGGTCAACTATATGAATAAGAGCATTATCAATATTACTTTAAGGACGAGCGCAGATAATGGCGAACACTTTTGAAACTTCTGAAACTACGATCAAAGAGTAAAGATGAAATGAGACAATTTTTAAAATAAACATAACCAATTGGAAAAAGCCTGAACAGGACAAAACAGAACATTTAGAGTTACCTACCCTGCACTGTTCCAACTGTTTTGTGATTTCTGTCGCCTCCTCTGCAATGTGTTCGGCTGTGCCGACCCACTTTTCATAGCTGCCGAAGAGCACCTGGAGAGCATGAAGCTCGTCATAGAACTTCTTGGTCTCCATGTTAAGGTCAACCTGGACCTGTGTGTCCGCCAGCAGCCTGTGGAGTTGTTCCCACCGCTGGTCCAGCTCAGTGATCGACTTCTGGAGAACGTCAAACGGCTCACCAGCTGTCAACAAACATCAACATCCGCACTGTGTTACACCATCAAACACCGAACAACTACACATGTAAGATTTACGAAGTTCAGAACACTTCACAGTTCTTTACCACATCTACAAATGTACTACTGTCTCACTGTAAACTTGTCGAAATTAAAGCTCTTTCCCAGGTGACAGCAAACAATGACATTTCTACTACATTCCAGTTCCACGATAAACAAGATCACACTACAGCAGTCAAAAATCCAAACCGTTTCCGGCTGTTCGAAAAAAAGCATGTGTTTACATACCCACTTTGTTATTATGCAGTAACGATAACAAGCACAGACTGAAAATAACGAAAAATTTAAATATCTGCCGTTATTTTGTCTCTGTTTTAATACAACATCCTCTGTTGATGTCAGTAGCCCAGAAAACAGCAACCTAGCTAACTGTCAAAGTGTGTAGATTTATAAACATTGCCTCCCGACACTAACATTCACCGACAGCGTTTATACATAGAGCAGTCTCTTTACATAATAACACATAGGCGCAGGGTAAATGTTCAAAACATTTGAGTAATATTAACAGCAAACATAAGTTTGGTCATTTTCAGTTGAAGTTCATAACAGTTTTTTAAATATCTATATAAAATATATACTACAAGCAATTTTTCAGAAACTCAATCAATGTCACGAAGTTCATATTTTAAAAAAATCTGCATAAATAAATCTTATTTTCTTAAGAATTTATTGATATTTACCACTCTGACAAAAAGTATACTAGCCTTTTATAACTCTTCCGTCAAAACAGATAAAAACACACAAACTATCAATTGTAGCATTCCACTGAACAGCTGGTCTTCAGTTTCAGTATATATAGCACATCTTAATTCTAAAACATCTGGTTCTCATTTGTAACTTTAAAACAAAAGACAGGACAGACATTCTGTATCTGTTGGTGGGATGTGTCGCAGTACCACTAACTTTTAACATGTGCTGACATTATATGCATGTGCTTATCCACAAATACACTGTGCACCAGATCCATTGTTCCAGTGCAAAAAACCTGATCTGTATACAATTGGACACACTTGAATCATTTTCAATTACTCAAGACGTGGGCTCTACTGATATGTTAATCAAGATAACAGCTGATAAAAAAATTACATGTATCAAAGTTGTAATTTGTTACTCTGTATGTTATCATGAAAATCTGACCTCATTTGCAATGAAGGAAGGGAAGTAACTCTGTCAAGGTAAGTCAGTAAATGGAATAAGGGGGAAGGAAGACAACTCTGTAAGGTTTAATGCTTTACAAAACTGGAGACCATTATGAATTTCTTCATGAGAATAATTAACATCAGTGTTTATTAACTCATTCACCCCTGAAACTTCATAATGAACTATGCCACCCTTTGAATTTGAAGGGTTCAAATGCGTTTTCAGGGGTGAATGAGTTAAGACTGAATCATAAAATAGTGTCATATGACTTAATTAGCAATTGTAAGAATGTGTCGAGCAAAATTAATGCTTTATTAAAACACCAATGAACAAGTAAACCTAATCAAGATTGTTTTTTGTGAATTAAACTTCTTTCATTTTTGTGAGTCTGTTCTGCTCTCAGTTTGCTAAATAATGAACATGAAAGGGGGAAAAAAGAAACACAGGGCAACAGAACTTGCAGTTAGATTTTAAAACATTTTAGCATTATATACATGTACATATGTAAGGATAGTTGGTCAGATTGCTATCTGTTGTTACCCAACATATTTAATGTCAAAAGTCAGTCGAGCATGATATTGAAATAAATAAGCCTGTGTGAAAACTTCAGCAAAGCATTTAACTACGCCAATCTGTACACTTTGTACCTACATCTCACACTCTGTTATTTTGATTAAATTCTTCTTTTTCTCAATCATACTAAAGCCACTGTAAAGAAACTATAAACAACATGATTATTCAAGTCATCTCAAGTTTCATGCCACATTTCTGTTTTCCCCTTCAGTAGATAATACGGTAGACAGAACACTTACACATCTTGAATTCTGTCAACATACTCCTGCCAAGGGAGAGAACTTTGTATACCTCAGTCGAGTGCGCCTTTACATCATTTTCTGTGTCCTGTAGAAAATAAAACAAATCATGAAACTTTTAGTTCATGGATAATTATCAATCAATGCCATCATACAATCACACATTTCCGTTTTATAAAATAATTCAGCAAAATTCAGTACCTATCCCAATAAATCTTTTGCATGGTTTTTAACATATATACATATTTTTTATAACATTTTTCTCGATGTTCAAGGTCAAGCTTGAACAAAATGTTGAGTCAGTAGTATGATATGATGGCTGTTCTCATGTGCAAAGGACTTAGAGAAAAACAGGAAAATACTCATTGTTGAAGTAAGAGGAATGTAGTGTTACAACAAAAGTGATAACATTGGGTCAATGTGTGTAACTAAACAAAATGTTAAGACAGTAGCTACAGATATAATAGGGTGTTTTTTGCACAAGGCATATTCCCCTGATTAGTCTAGTCTACATAGCTGTACAAATGGGAACCAGCATAAAAGTAAGTATTTATGAGAAAGACTGGTGTCCTCCCAATGGACAATCATGTCCTCTTAGAGTTGAGGTCATCGAAAAAGGGTTCACACTCCAACTGTATCGCCAACTTGGTTTGAGACACTAGAACTATATAAGATTACAGAAGATGTGGGTAAATACCTGTACAAGGTCAAGCTTACAGGAGATGTGGGTAAATACCTGTACAAGGTCAAGCTTACAGAAGATGTGGGTAAATACCTGTACAAGGTCAAGCTTACAGAAGATGTGAGTAAATACCTGTACAAGGTCAAGCTTATGGAAGATGTGAGTAAATTCAATACCTGTACAAGGTCAAGCTTACAGAAGATGTGAGTAAATACCTGTACAAGGTCAAGCTTACAGAAGATGTGGGTAAATACCTGTACAAGGTCAAGATTACAGAAGATGTGAATAAATACCTGTACAAGGTCAAGATTACAGAAGATGTGGGTAAATACCTGTACAAGGTCAAGCTTACAGAAGATGTGAGTAAATACCTGTACAAGGTCAAGCTTACGGAAGATGTGGGTAAATACCTGCACGAGGACAAGCTTACAGAAGATGTGGGTAAATACCTGTACAAGGTCAAACTTACAGAAGATGTGAGTAAATACCTGTACAAGGTCAAGCTTACAGAAGATGTGAGTAAATTTAATACCTGTACAAGGTCAAGCTTACAGAAGATGTGGGTAAATACCTGCACGAGGACAAGCTGTTCCTCAACGGTGAACTTGTCCTGTGGGGACAGTGAAGCATCATCTTTCGTCAACATCTCCAGTGCAGATTCTGTCTTCTCGAACCAGGCAGTCAGCTCTGTCATCTCAAAGTCGTACTCCTTGCGTGTTGCTGTGTCAACCTTTCGTTTCTTGGCTGATGACACTGTTGGTGACCTCAGTGGTCCCTCTGCAGAAAACTCTGACATCATTTCCTCCGAAACTTTACTCAACTCCACTCCAGATCCTGCAATCTGAAATGCAAACAACATCCATGGTAAATTAATTAAATACCAAGACTTCAAATTCATAAAATGACAGAAGAAATTTGATTGATTCGATGACATAATGTCAGTGTACAAATCTAATGCATTTTGATTATCATTTAAACTTGGAAACATTGATTACTTCATTACGCCGATGTCAGCACTTTGCCTGAAACATTTCTGTCTGTTTATCTACTCTTTGTTGAGCTGAATTGTACCGCCACACATTCATCTCCAAATTCAATGTCATAAAAATATAAAACACTTGTTTGAATAAAGAGGTATACAAGGCCTGCAATGCAAAATATCTTTTGATACATCTTAAATCTTAATACCATTTCAATTTCTCAACTTCTACCGTAATATCCTATACCATCAACCTCATTTTTGAGCGATCATCATTACAGCAACACATTTTAACTGGAAAAGGAATTATCTCAAAATAGGTGCCATTGAGTCTTCCTTGACTTTATATTGTTTTATTGTCATTTTAAGTCAATAAAGGCTAAAAACTTTGACATTAAGAACAGATATCAAAGAAATGAGATATTGAAATATCAAAGCTCTGGAGTTCATATTTCTAAAGAAGAAGATTACAGCTGAAGCTCTGGAGTTCATATTTCTAAAGAAGAAGTTTACAGCTGAAGCTCTGGAGTTCATATTTCTAAAGAAGAAGATTACAGCTGAAGCTCTGGAGTTCATATTTCTAAAGAGGAAGATCACAGCTGCTAGTTTAGTCAGTCAGCTTGTATCAGACATGAAAGTTAACTGGTAGTAAAGTTACCTGGTAGTAAAGTTAACTCGTAGTAAAGTTACCTGTTTGCTTTGCATCTCCATCTCCCTGACCAGTTTCTCCCATCTCTCCTGGAACCCCTCCAGTTGGGAGCTGATCTGCTGGACAGTCTGTTCATTGTCCACGTACTGGACAATCTGCTGACCACACTCGTTGAGCTCGTCAAATCTCTGGACCTGCTCCACCATATCTGTTTCAATGGCCTGACAAAGGATAGGTTGAAACATTATGATCAGCATGGATAGTAAAATAAAATAAGCCATCACAAAAATTGAAGCACAAATATATCTGCCAGCGAAATAGATGTAAACATAATGATTAATCATCATAGTACTATATAGATTATGTCAAATTGCAACAATTTAAATATTTGTATCAAAATATGGATCCTAAAAGTAGTTTCAATATACATGTACATCCAATCTTGTTGATGCAACCACCTCAAAACCAGACCACCTGTGTTAAGTAACCACCTGTGTTAAGTGACCACTTTAATTGTTTCCCATTGTCATGATTGTGAACTGAACCTGCATAAGAGACCACCTGTATAGAGAGACCACTTTTTGGACTTCCGATGGATGGTCTTTTAATACAGGTTTAACAGCACACTAGCCAACACATTATGACAATCAAAACACTGTGTTGCCTCTCACCTTCAAGTCCTTGACCTGTGTAATGACCTTGTCAGGGTCGTTAAGGTCACACTCCCTCATTTTACTGAGCACAGACTCCTTCTCCGATAGCCAATCAGAGAACATAGCCTGCTCCTCTGAAAAGTGTTGCCACTTGAGGAGAATCTCCTGTAGGAGGAGCCACTGTTGCTCGGTCCAGTTACAGATGATCGCCCACCGTTTCCCCAGGCTCTGCAGCTGGTTCTCCATCACCTCATAGGCTACAAATATAGGTCACAGTCATCTAATCATTAAACTTGTATATCATATAAATGAAGGTCCAATTGAAATACTATTAAGCTTTTGTCATGTATGCTTGAATGATTCATAAAAAAAAAAAAAATGATAACCCAATTTCCTGACCAAAGAGATTCTGTGTAAAGTGAAACCTGTCTAATCTGACACCAGTGAACACATATTGGTCAGATTAGCCAGGATGACAGAATACACAGGTCTTCTTAGGCAGTTTTTATCAGAAATGGGATTAAAAAATTATGTCTGATTAACTAATTCACCCCTGAAGACACATTTGAACTCTTCCAATTCAAAGGTTGGAATAGTTTATTATGAAATTTCAGGGGTGAATTAGTTCAGCAGAATATCAGAAACCTCAAGGGTTTGACTAGACAGGTTCCTGTGTAATTACAAAAAAGTGTTATTCTGTGTACAACTCTGAATTTACAGAGTTGAAGTGCTCATCCTTGTTTAAATTTGCAGTTTCGTCATATGGCAAAAACTGTGAAAAGATCATTATCTCAAAAACTATCTTGTATACATTAACAAACCACTGGTCTGCCAGAATCTATCACTCCTGTGTGATGAAGAGAGAGCTATACCAACCCAAGAAAATACAGATTTCTTATGTTTAGCACAAAGCTTTGCCGAGTGATGAAAATCATATAAAGATTAGGATTTCTGTCTGCTTCACATAGGAGTGATTAATGAGATCTTTATGCAAAAAAAAACACATAATAGGATGTGTGATTTCTTAGATTAGGTAGAGAAAGACAGGTATATCTTTTCCTTGGCCAAAATGGAAATGCATCAGTGAACTGTGGGAGAAAAATACATTACAGGAATCATCCCCAGTTTTACCTTGCTCTGTATTGTCGTCGTCGACGATGACCACCATGTCCCTTAGGTTGTCCACCTTCATCTGTTGATGTTCTAGCTCCTCCTGTAGTTTCTGTAAGTAAACAAATGAATCATCTAGTGTAAAACAAAGTCTTGTAAACATTTTTCTGTTGTAATTCTAGAAACAAAATCACTTTTGAATATCCGATTTCGCGATGACATTAATCACACCTACGCAAATTTTTATATATGTTTATCTATAACCAATGTTTTTGCCTAGGTGCCAAGGGACCAAAAGATAAACAGGGATTTTGATATATCAAGCACATTTAAGGGAACCTACATATAAAATTTGAGAAAGATCCCTCTGGTACTTCTTGAGAAATAGCGATAACAAACTTTCACTATCAAAATCCAAGATGGCTGCCTGTCGGCCATGTTGTTTATCCGATCAGTCTCGAAAGTTCCCTGCACAGCTATGGACCAAGGGGAACCTACATATAAAATTTGAGAAAGATCCCTGTGGTGCTTCTTGAGAAATAGCGATAACAAACTTTCAATATCAAAATCCAAGATGGCTGCCTGTCGACCATGTTGTTTATCAGATCAGTCTCAAAAGTTGCCCTGCACAGCTAAGGACCAATGGGAACCTACATATAAAATTTAAGAAAGATCCCTCCAGTACTTCTTGAGAAATACCGATAACAAGAATTGTTTAAGGATGGTCGATGGACCAAGGACGGACCACAGACCACGGAGTAGTCTAACTGTCTTCCTGATCATTTGTAGCATTTCAAAAAACAAATTCGGCAGTTTTGATTGGCCTTACTTCAAAATGTACATACATCTTGCCTGTAATATCGATTTCTGATATATGACTTAGGTTCAATATGTAAAGGTCTCTATTTTTTCTAGTTTATTCCAGAAACTAATAATTTAAAATTTAATAACTAAAAGTGTCTAAATGGGGGCCAAGTTTCCACCTTTATCCGTACAAATGTCATACTATTGGCCCCTTTCCTTTATCCGTACAAATGTCATACTATTGGCCCCTTTCCTTTATCCGTACAAATGTCATACTATTGGCCCCTTTCCTTTATCCGTACAAATGTCATACTATTGGCCCCTTTCCTTTATCCGTACAAATGTCATACTATTGGCCCCTTTCCTTTATCCGTACAAATGTCATACTATTGGCCCCTTTCCTTTATCCGTACAAATGTCATACTATTGGCCCCTTTCCTTTATCCGTACAAATGTCATACTATTGGCCCCTTTCCTTTTCCTCCTGATCCTTCTCCATGTCTCTCGCTTTCCTCAAAAATCCTGAACATCCTTTTTTCTCCGACATATTAAACATTTTCAATCTGTCATAGTTTAATTTTGCAGGGAAAAAACATGAAATTATATTAATCAATGCGGACATTATCACCCAGTGTAAGGGGAATCCCTTCATGAAATCTATACACAACTAAAAGCAGATAGCAGCATGTTACTAGCTGTTCTGCCTTGGCATTTAGCCAGCTTCCCTAATTGTATATATCTTTTGATGGCTATTAACGCCTAACATCTTTGCACCAATAAAAAAGTCTCAAAACTAAAACAGATCACCGATTTTCTACAAACCTACCTTTACTATGAAGAGAAAAAAGAGATTCTAATTTATTTCCGTAATATATCAATTCAGCAAAATAACCATTACACTTTTATGGATGCAAATGTAGTGTTTCCTCAAAGTTTACGAGTACGAGCTTGCATGAAAACATTCTGAATTTTTATGAAAACTAATGAGAAATTTCTGGAGCTATACGAATGATGAATATGTGGTGAACACGTATATAATTCAAATGATTCTCCCTTAGTGGTGACCGAGGCCTTTATACTACACAGAAACCCTGTTCCCAAGTTCCGCAGAAGTGTTATTTTCAACACCTCTGTAAAAGACTTCAATTGCAAGACAAAGCACATTCCAACACTTAAAACATGACTTCCATCAGGCAAGTGATGGTTTTGAAAAATGCTAAACTTGTTTGGCTCATTTTGATCAATGTGTTTTTTAGGATTTTATTGCATGTTGAAACTTCAGGAATTTCATCACAACATCGCTTAGACTTTTTGCACAGCAAAGAAAAGGCATGCATGGCATTTGAGCTTATCGTTCCGATACCTGCACCTTGCACTAAGTTCTCATTAACCCTTTATTTATCTAGAGAGACTTAATAATCACGTACAACTCATTAAAGGACTTACTTCTTCATAAACACTGAATGCTGTCAAAAAAATTGTTGATCAAAAAAATAAAAGTTATATAAAAGTTCTTCCAACAATTTCCTTGCCCAATAAAGCTGTCAACCACACGGAAGACCCTCCGCCGACTTTGCCCATAAAGTTTCAGACAGGTCTTGTCATTACAGTCTACATCCTTGGAATGTTTGATGATTCAGTGCACGACGCAAGCTTCATTCAGAACCCGACTTTAGGAGATTCTGATTCTGCAACTTCAAATTACTCATCCATCAACATAACAAATCAAATTTAGCCCCACAATGTTATCAATATTTTATCAAAATGAGTCTGTTGACCCAAACCTCCTTTGAATGGGAATAAAAAAAGTCTATCATAACAATAGTGTCAATGACTGGGGTCATACAGTGGCCACCTTCGGCTGAGAATGATACTTGTATCATGCTCGGTGTACCAGAAATCAATAACCTTAGCTTACTGCACTAGAACACTTCCAAGAAGCATATCAACCAAGTAAAAGTACAAAAGAAAACATATTTTTAATCTACTAATGCATGACAGATCTAACTATGTGGTAAAATTAAGATTAATATCAATTCCGAAATTGATACACTTCATGTCTTAATGAAAATGGATCATTACCAGCTGACACACAACATAATAACACTAATTTATCTAAAAACTAGCTGCTACCAAGTTTATCAATGAAAATCTAAATATGATTCAATTACTTTGACTATGAATATCATAATTATGTCAAAATGCTTTATTTTCAGGACCTTATAAGATAACACAACACAATAGAAATATCAGTAAAACTAGTGTAAATGGTGATGAAAACAGATTTCCTAACGCATCTTTAGGATAACATATACATGCCGTATCTTAATTACAATTACAGCATGAAAGTCACGAAAAAATAACTTCTAAAAATGTTCCCTCGGCATTGGACACATTTCTTGAAAACTTTAATTGATCCTAGGAAAAGATGTGTACTACCTCCAAAGATTGGCTTTGTATGAAATCTCTCAAGACTTGTGATTTCAGATCACATGATCATAATATTGTTCAAAATGGCAGACGAAACACACCATGTGAACACTATACATGTCACACACTTTACTGGTTAGTATTAAATGATTTTATTGAAGAAAGCCTGTCTCCCTTTCTAGCACTCCGTGCTCATATATATTTACCCTGTGATCATCCACTTGTTTTCGAATAGCTGCCAAGTCTGATCCTATTGGTTCCTGGTTTTGAATGCGAGCCTCAGTTTGGCTCATCCAATGAGCAAGCTCATCCAACTGTTTCTGTTGAAGTTCCATCAGGGCTTTGTGTAAACTGAAAACATAATTTTAAAACAACATACATAAATGAACTCAAATACTTAGGCATTTTTGAAAGAGAACAAATTCAAATCAACAAATTTAAATGTAAATTGTACAAAATAAAGTAGCAAGGCAGTTCTGGTGATGTTTTTGATAAACATGATTACATGTGTTACAGGAGAGAAAAAAAGCCAGAACGGGGTTTAAACCCAGGACACTCCAAACTCTAGACAGAGGCTCTACCAATTGAGCTACCTGGTTGCCAACAATCGACCCAGCCAGTTTTGCTACACATATATATATATGTATGCTACTGATTTTTTTCATCATCCTCCTTTTTTGTGTTGTTTTTTTTGTGGATGGAGGGGGTGAAACTTAAATATTACAATTCTACGAGCAAGTCAATTTTGCTGCAGTCTGTTTGACTTTCAATAATATAGAACCAATATCAATGTAATGAATCTGAAAGAAAACTTTGTTCAGTATTAAACATATAGCCGAAGCCTGTGCTATGTGTCTACAGTGAGAACAAACAGACTGTTGATACGTCTAATCAATGAGTTCGCTTTATTTTGATCATAGCAATCACATTTATTTAAAATCATGAATATTTAATGCCAAAATACCGGAGCAAAAACGGGATGCGTTTGGCGCCATCAATCTCTGCGAGACCATCAGCGATAGCCTGCCATTGTTTACCTTACTGTCTGATGACAGTGCTATCAGTGATAAGTTTACCGTGTAGTTTCCCCACCTCTCCTATCACTTCTCCGATAGTGTTTATTGTTTGTTATATATTTTTCTGCGATTATACATCTTACCCTTATAGATACTACACTTACTGTCTACTTCCTATAGGATGTCCTTAGAACCTTCCAAAGAATCTTTCATTATCACCAAGTGAAGTTATACTTTGAGTTTCTTTAGATTCTATTTGCACAAAGATCATGTCAAAAACCAACCTCTTTTGCCTCAATAAAACTTTCATGTCATACACCCACCCTTTTATCAATATAAAATGGCCTCTCTAACAGGTTATAAGGTCCTTCAGAAGAGGTTACCTATCAGGACACATGGTGTTATAGGATATGCAAAATTATGAAGTCCTGGATATCCAAAAGTGGTGTTTCACATGAATTTCCTTTAATTAGATTTTGTACGACTTCACTGTTAAACTTTACTGCAAGTGAATGCTTGAGCAATTTTAAAGTAATGGTGGTGGTGGTGGTGGTGGTGGTGGCGGTGGTGGTGGTGGTGGTGGTGGCGGTGGTGACGGTAGTCAGGTGGTGAAGTGGATAGTGTACTTGCCTTCACCAAGACAGCCAGGGTTTGATTCCCTGATCAGATGTGAAGAGGTATATGGGGTCACCCGCCCGACCACGTTGGCTAGGGTTTTCTCCGGGTACTCCAGTTTCCTCCCACTGTAAGACATTCCCCCTCCCATTTGCACACGACTATCCAGGTTAACAAGACTGATTAATATTAATCTTATAAAACTAGTTTTATAACTGTTGCTGAATAAATAAACCTTAATAAGAGAAAGTGTGCACACGTCTTTATTACTTTACAGGAAGAGAAATCATTCTAATAAAGGTAGACCAGAGTTTTCTTATCCGAGTCACCTGTGTCAGAACAGCATGTGAAACAGATACCGTTATCAACAGTAAACACCGACACTCTTCAAGTCTTCTCCATGATGTCATCTACCTCACAGATCGTCCATCAACAACCAAAGTTCAGTTTTTTGACACGATAACCATATTTTCTAACAATGATAATCTTCATTGAATGGATTTTCAAGATAAGACACGGCCACACTGATCTTGAATCTAAAATAATCTTGCTACAAAACGAAATTTGAAATTTCTCCTTGATCTTAATTTAGTCTTCATTCTGCAACAAAAAAATACTTCCTCAGAGGAGAAGTTGGCAAATGACCCTTGAACCTTGATTCCAAAATAATGCAACATTATTGGAGTATATTAGGTTTTCTAAACCATCAGTGAAAAATATTCCAATGTTAAAAATACATTGGCTTTAATGTTGGATTATCAGTTACATAACTAGATTTCAAGTCGGCATTCAAACAGATTTGTTTTTCAGTTTTAAAATAATCTAAGCAAAGTTCTGATTAATAATTTAAAGTGCATATAATCAAATAAATGTTGAAACCCGAAAAGCTTAAATTGTGCTTCCTCGTACAATTACAACCTTAATGCTATTATTTCGTATCATTTGGAGAACATCTAGTGCAATCACTTTTAAGCATCTCAACGAAACTGATCTGCATCACCTAAATGGTTGAATGTTAAATGGATTTGCATGTATAACAGGATATTGACAAACAATAGCCTTAGGTTTAAGATCAAAGCACTGTTAGTGTAACAAAGGCCACTGCACGTGAAATATTTTCATGGTTTTTTTTAATCTATAACAAAATTTGGCTTTCAAAATGATCATAAACACACGCAACACATATAAAAACGGTTGTATTTGTGAAAGCAACAATGAAAAATTTGCATTTGAAAATTTCAATTCAACTTCTGTGTATATATCTCTAAATGGTTATGAACTCCTGTGCGAATCTGTGGTTTAAACATTGATCCAACCCTAGAACTTGTTGTCTCTTAATGAACTGAAACTGAATGGAATTTGAATACATCAATAAACAGTCACCTGATATCGTTATACAGAGAGTTGATAATTGTATTTAACATGAACAGAAGTATTGTTCAAAGCGACAAAAAAACAATAAAACCACCTTATTCAATATCTAGCATGCAGATTTAAGACTGAAAAGTATTTGAAACTAGCACCTCTGATTCTAAACAAAGTAATTTTAGCACACAGACTCCATTGGGCCCCACCCATCAGCCCCTGGGGGTCATTCAGGGCTGATATGTGCATACAATCAAACTGCTATCCAATACTGATAATACTAACCCAAATTGAATTACTTCCAATGGCAATTAAACAAATGTTGGTCCAAAATGTGATTTCCCTATATAAACTATAGTAAAGTTTACCCCCTCCCCAGGGGGAAACGTGAGACCCCAGGGTCAAGAAATTCACAATTTCAGTAAAGCACCTTAAGACCCTTCCATCTATGAAGAGTATTTGATTCTACCATATCTGGGTCTTGAGAAGAAGATTTTTGAAATTTCAGTCAATTCAACCCTTTTTGGCCCCACCCATCAGCCCCTGGGGGTCAGTCAGGGCTCATAGGTGCATACTATCAAACTGCTACCTAATACTGATAATGCTAACCCAAATTGAATTACTTCCAATGGAAATTAAACAAATGTTGGTCCAAAATGTGATTTCCCTATATAAACTATAGTAAAGTTTACCCCCTCCCCAGGGGGAAACGTGAGACCCCAGGGTCAAGAAATTCACAATTTTAGTAAAGCACCTTAAGACCCTTCCATCTATGAAGAGTATTTGATTCTACCATATCTGGATCTTGAGAAGAAGATTTTTGAAATTTTAGTCAATTTTACCCTTTTTGGCCCGGCCCCTCAGGCCCCTGGGGGCTGGGGACCATATAATTCACAATTTAGTTGACCTTTGGCCATGGAAGGTTTCTGCAAAATTTCATTGAAATTGGTTTAGGGGTTTAGGAGAAGAAGTCGAAAATGTAAATTGTTTACGGACGGACGACGGACGACGGACGACGAACGACGAACGACGGATGGCGACGGCCAAAAGGCGATCGCAATAGGTCAATTGAGACTTTGTCTCAGGTGACCTTAAAAATCTTAATTGTAATCAAACTAAATAATTTTGTTTGGTTTGGTTTGTTTGTGTTTTACGTCCTATTAACAGCTATGCTCATTTAAGGACATGCCAGGTGGTGGTGGTGGATGAAAGCCAGAGTTCCCGGAGAAAAACCACGGACCTACGGCAAGTACCTAGTGACTGCCCCACGTAGGCCTCGAACCCGCGACCCAGCAGTGGAGAATGAAATAATTTTGTTTCTGAATGAACAACAAGTTACTTTCATTGTTCAGTTGTGTTAGTATTTTCTTAAAGATTATGAACAACAATTGCAACTATCAAGGTGGGTAAACATGCATTAGGGACAATTGTTAGGCCCTTATTTAATGTGTTGATTTTTCTATGCATAGAAGTGTATGGTATGATATACAAATTCAAAGAAGAGATGACCAGACAACATCAACTGAGGAGTCTTAATTGGCAAATTGAATCCAGCTTACATGATTCAGCCCACTAGGTGGGCCCGTCATGTTAAATGACTGGTGTCCTTCCACAGGACGAAACACACAATCAAAGAGATATGCTCTGTAGGCTGCCATATCACTTGTTACACTTTCTTTTTACTTTTCGTTTTTATTGTAGCGGAATTGTTAGACTGGCAGCTTGCACTGAAGGAAATCGAGAGCAGTGGACACCTGAATCCCCTTTTATCAGCTACTACATCAATGACTTAGATCAATTACAGGTTATTGAACAGGTATTTACAAGTGGTTGCTCAACATGTATCAGAATTAACTAAGGCATGTTTAAAGACAACCTTTTAACACATGGAAGTCTATAATGTAGGAAGCACCTGGTGAAAGGAGGAAGAAGTGCCTGTTTCACACACACTCTGCAGGGTAATTAGGCGTAAAATGTGAATTACATAGACTCATTAGTGTAATAAGTCATGACAAGTGTATCACAGGGCTTCCTGGCTGACAGACACACCATACATAGATACTAGGGGATAGCACTACAGGTACTGATGCTGGGGGATAGCACAACAGGTACTGATGTTGGGGAATAGCACAACAGGTACTGATGCTGTGGGGATAGCACAACAGGAACTGATGTTGGGGGGAAAGCACAACAGGTACTGATGCTGGGGGATAGCATAACAGGTACTGATATTGGGGAATAGCACAACAGGTACTGATTCTGTGGGGATAGCACAACAGGTACTGATGTTGGGGAATAGCACAACAGGTACTGATGCTGGGGGGATAGCACAACAGGAACTGATGCTGGGGGGATAGCACAACAGGTACTGATGTTAGGGAATAGCACTACAGGTACTGATTCTGGGGGATAGCACAACAGGTACTGATGCTGGGGAATAGCACAACATGTACTGATGCTTGGGGGATAGCACTACAGGTACTGATTCTGGGGATAGCACAACAGGAACTGATGTTGGAGAATAGCACAATAGGTACTGATGCTGGGGGATAGCACTACAGGTACTGATGCTGGGGGGATAGCACAACAGGTACTGATGATCGGGGATAGCACAACAGGTACTGATGCTGGGGGGATAGCACAACAGGTACTGATGTTGGGGGATAGCACTACAGGTACTGATGCTGGGGGGATAGCAAAACAGGTACTGATGCTTGGGGATAGCACAACAGGAACTGGTGTTGGGTATACTATAACAGGTACTGATGTTGGAGAATAGCACTACAGGTACTGATTCTGAGGGATAGCACAACAGGTACTGATGCTGGGGGGATAGCACAACAGGTACTGATGCTGGGGGGATAGGACAACAGGTACTGATGTTGGGGAATAGCACAACAGGTACTGATGTTGGGGATAGCAAAACAGGTACTGATGTTGGGGATAGCACAACAGGAACTGATGCTGGGGGATAGCAAAACAGGTACTGATGTTGGGGATAGCAAAACAGGTACTGATGCTGGGGGATAGCACAACAAGTACTGATGTCGGGGATAGCAAAACAGGTACTGATGCTGGGGGATAGCACAACAGGTACTGATGTTGTGCAAGTAGCTGGAGATGGGGTACAGGTCTGGGTGATGGAGTTTAAAATAAAGGGAAACTTGTACAATTTGTACAGATACTGGGAAACATACAACACTTCACATGTAGGTACTGATGCTGAGCAAGAGGCTGGAGTTTGGGTAGAGGTGGTGATGGGGGTAGTGGTATATAATAGATACTGATGATGAGGGAAGCAGATGCATTGTACAGATACAGAGGGGCATACAGCATTAAACAGGTAATTATGTTTTAGGTTGGGGTAGGGGTTTCCCCTGTATTCTTCTTCAATAAACCCTTAATTATCCTGTTACTCAACAACCACTGTCTAGCTTATATAACACACAGGTACTTCTGTTATGACATGAGGGGTACAACATTTACTGAAACATCATTGCTCATTCTACAGCAGCCAAAACATGAGTTGTAGGTAATTATCTAAATTTTGGAAGATAATTCTCAAATTTGGCACCTCAGTGCTATACATCATACAGACCTATAGCTTCTTCCTGTAAGCCAGGCCCCTGTTTGTATCTATAAGTAAATTGACCAATACCCTGTGAAGTTAACATGATATTTTACATCCGTCCTGTGAACTGTACATGATTTCCTCAACAGTAACTGAATTCTGAACTCTACCTGTATTACAATTGTTTGGCATCAGCCCAACACCTATATATATATAGAGAGAACTATAAACTCATACCCCATACCACAAATTTGAAATTAAATCTACAAGACAAATTGGCCACACATTGGTCAGGTCAGTAACACCTCCTAAATGGCATATGGCAGGCGTCAAGAGTGACCTCCTCTTTGATGAGATAGCCAACTCTCCCTCACATACAAAATATAGATACTCTACCCTACCAGTAACAGAGAAGCAGGTTGTTCTGTGGAGATAGAGTGAAGAGATAAGGAGATAGAAGACACCATTTGTAGTTCTACCTCCCCCTAATGCAGTCTCTGTATCAGCAATAAACAAGGATAATGTACAGATTTGATATTCAGACAGTATCAGGTCGGTTTGGAGTACAGAGCCAGGTATCTATACTGCTCCAGGCACAGGTACTCTGTAGTAAGTGGTGGTAAAACGCAGAGGAGTTACTAATGGTTTGGTTTGATTGGGATTCTACGACTTTCCACCATGTTATATGACTTGTAATGATTATTAAGTTGAACTTAATCATACATTAAAAGTTATGTGACATTATGGACTTTATAGTTCAAACTCATTATGGCGCCATTGAAGTTGGGAGAGGGTGAATGTGACATGATGTAGCTCCCTATGAAATGAAAATGAAAGATACTATGGCTATAAGATGGAATAGGACTATAGAGTGACATGAGGGTGTGTGGCATCTTGTGGTCGGGTGGAAATGGTGGTAAGTTAGGCTTTAATTGGTGGCAATGACCAGGAAGAGAGAATGGTACAGAGGATTTTAAATGTCTTATGTTGGTTGAGAGTGGTTGGGGTGGTGATAGTTGAGAAGTATCAATGGGAATGATGCTGTAAAACTGATACAGGTGAATGATGCAGAACCTCGACATAAAATACCTTCCCTATCAAAAACATAAAATACCTTCCCTATCAAAAACATAAAATACCTTCCCTAACAAAAGCATATCGCTTATTTCATGAGCAAATAACAGTAAAATAATGGTGTAACTAATTGAAAAGATATTCCACAATGAATCAGATAGAAGTTTGAGATGATATAAATAGTACTCTAACAGTAGTCTGGTTTTGTCTATAATAGCTGAAGCAGCTAGGGCTACAAATAGGACCCAGTGGTAAAAAATGTAGACAGAGCATCAGGGTGAGGAGTATCAGGATTTAATGAAGATCAAACGCAATCCAGACATGTTGATATAATTGTAAGCCAGGGCATGCCACAGCTAAGGCAGCAGGAATGGTGTAGTCTACAAGGGTTTGATAACCTCATTTCACACTGGTACAAATGAAATTATACTTTTGATACACCTAGAACATTTATCAATCCCATGACCTCAAAACCAATCAAAGTCATGTAGAAATCTTTTGGAACAATGTTTGAACACATCTTACAAAAATTTGGTGCAATCTAGTGATCCCATAACCTGAAAACCAATCAAGGTTATTTAGAGTATTTAGAACCATACTTAAATACAGCTAACAATACCAATCTTTGAAAACATAGGTGAACTTTACTTAACATAGATTAAACACCTGAGGTTTCTACATACCTGTACATGTCATCATTGGTGATGTCAACATACAGGTGTGACATTGGGGAAATGGAGGGTGTGGCAGAGCTCTGGTTCTGACTAACCAACACACTGACCCAGACTGACCGAGGTATAGACTGACCACTTACAAAGTGATTACAAAGACATGTGCCCATGTGATATATATAACACAGGTCTGTCTATAATTATAACATCTTGGCCTGTAATGATTGAGCTCATGATGGATCCAAAAGATGCCAAATCATATCAATGATATATACGACACATGGACCAATACTAGTCATATAATCTGTTCCTCATTTGTCATAAAACATAAATAATGATGGAGAGAAAGACAGAGGGATAGACAAATAGACCATCTAGTCACATAACCTGTTTCTCATTTGTCATAAAACATAAATAATGATGGAGAGAAAGACAGAGAGATAGACAAATAAACCATCTAGTCGCATAACCTGTTTCTCATTTGTCACAAAACATAAATGAGATTGAGAGAGAGACAAATAAAATAAACCATCTAATCACATAATGTGTTTCTCATAGGTCACAAACAAAATTACGCCTGAGCGATAGAGATCGAAAGACAAAAACTGTATCTCATGTCATAAAAGTAAACAAGCGAGAGATATAGACAGATCACCACTAATCACATAACCTGTTTCTCATTTGTCATAGAATCTATATTTACAACTGGGAAAAGATGGCAATCTACGGGGGAACAAAACACACAAATAGTCTCGGAGGTATAAAACAGGCCGAGAATGTAGACAGGAATCCTGGTAACAACATGTAAACACTATAGGCTGTAGCATCACCTACCACAAGTTTATAATTTCTTTATGTTTACGATTCAGATAACTTTACACTAGCTCAGTGGTGGGTTATCTAATTAATTAGTCACCATGCCCCAGGTCTGTATAATGTGTAGCATGCTGTGCTTATCATGGTATGCTATTTTTGTGATTAAAATGCTACACATAGTAAATATATTTTGCAGCAATTATATGACGCATACTTTCTTCTATTCATTAGTAACTAGTGAGCCTTGTTCTGTTCTTGAGATGACACAGCCAGCTAGATTTCTAACTCTTTCCAACTTCATATTGTCCATTTTCACTTCAAAAGGAAATGGTTTCTCTCCTTCCACAATATCTTTTCTCCTTTCATAATCAAATCCCTTTGCACCCATAAGGGCAAAGTTCATCTCCCTGCACCATACCTACATCCTTTCCTAATCTTCCCCCTTTCCACCACTGAGGGACAAGTTTCTCTCCCTACACAATACCATTGCTCTTTCTCAATCAAATCTTTGCATCCATAAGGGCGAATTGCATCTCCCTGCACTATACCTCAGACCCTTCCTAATCTTCTTTCCACCCCTGGCCTCCGTCTTAAGGATACTGAAGTATCTAGAAAAATCTAAACTCTAGTAATTTTGATCACTTGGATGTCTGATTCCAGATTTGACAACACCCCAAGTTTTCAAAGTAGGGGGAGATAAGCTGGTAGTAAAATGCATCTGGAAAATTCTTTACAAAAACTTAGTGGCTGATAGCCGGTCCAAGACTTTGTACTCACCAGCTCTGTCTGTGTATGGTCTTCATTCGGAGGTCCTCCCAGCGGTGATTGAGTAACCCCATCTGTACTCGGATCTCACTCTCCTCCTCCTCAAGGATCTTGCCTTCAGATATCAGGTCATTTCCCTCCTTAACCACAAGTCCTATGCTGTCCTGGTGTTTGGTCAGTTCCAACATAAATACCTAGGAAATATAAAACAAAATATAGGTCAAATTACCTGTACATTTTGAATGAAAATGTATCCAGATCCAGGTCAAATAACATCTGGAAAGCCTAACAAGGTCAAGGTTAAAATACAGCTAGAAAGACTAAACAAGGTCAAGGTTAAAATACATCTGGAATGCCTAACAAGGTCAAGGTTAAATTACATCTGGAAAGACTAAACAAGGTCAAGGTTAAAACACATCTAGAAAGACTAAACAAGGTCAAGGTTAAAATACATCTGGAAAGCCTAACAAGGCCAAGGTTAAATTACATCTGGAAAGAATAAATAAGGTCAAGGTTAAATTACATCTGGAAAGACTAAACAAGGTAAAAGTTTAAATACATCTGGAAATACTAAACAAGGTCAAGGTTAAAATACATCTGCAACGACTATCAAAGTCAAGGTCAAATAACATCTAGAAAGACTAAACAAGGTCAAGGTTGAAATACATCTGCAACGACTATCAAGGTCAAGGCTAAATTACATCAACAACGACTAAACAATGTCAAGGTTAAATTATATCTGCAGTGAATAAACAAGGTCAAGGTCAAATTACACCTACAAAAATGACACAACACAGCAAAGTGGCAAATACAGGACAAGGTCAAAACGCAGCTGCCATTTGGCGAGATAGATTATAGGTCAAGGTCACAAATCATTTAAAGCATGAATCTGCCTTAGCAACAACCCTGAAATATTTATTTTGAGAAAAAACTTTCATGCTTTTATACAACACATACATTCTTATGGCATAAAACATGCCTTTTTTTTACCTGGTAACAAACATTAAGTTTTTAAGTAAGTTCTGTCCAATCGAAATAACAGGACACTTCAAAACCAAGAGATTTTATTACAGACAGGTAACAAAAACTGTTGCATGTCAGACACCTATTTTTGTAAACATATTTTGGGGATTTGGCACACATTTTCCACTCCAACTTTTAATTGTAAGCTACACCAGGATGTTTATTTTTGCTGTATAACAGTGTTTTATTGAACACATGTTAAATGCTGAAAATAAAACAGGAAATAAGTGCGGTGCCAGAAACATTTTTTTCAACATTTAAAAAGAAATATTCTACTAAACTTTTACTCAAAACCTGATTGGGTATCACAGAAGGAAGCCATGTTTTGTTGATAAATGCATATACCCTGGTACATATCTTAAACATATCATACAGTGTCAATCACATGTTGGTTTGTGGAACATGGATAGTATACCTGGAGGTGTAGAATTTGGGTCAGACACCAAATTCTACATCAAAGGGTATAGAACAAACCTACATTATGATTGGCTTTATTTTGCTCACCTCTAAACTGAAATTTGGGTTAAAACACCAACTTGACAATTCAAATGCAACACTAAATATAGTTAAACTTCTAGATAACATATATACAAACTAAGGATACATTTGGAAGAGAGCAGGAAAAGGACAGGTTTACCAAAGGGATCCATGCAAAGCCTTTAGGCCAGCTTGTGCGATAGGTTTACCAAAGGGATCCATGCAAAGCCTTTAGGCCAGCTTGTACGATAGGTTTACCAAAGCGATCCATGCAAAGCCTTTAGGCCAGCTTGTACTATAGGTTTACCAAAGTGATCCATGCAAAGCCTTTAGGCCAGCTTGTGCGATAGGTTTACCAAAAGGATCCATGCAAAGCCTTTAGGCCAGCTTGTGGGATAGGTTTACCAAAGGGATCCATGCAAAGCCTTTAGGCCAGCTTGTGCGATAACTCTTATGTTCCTGAGATTGCGTCACTTTCGACGGCAAGACTGTCACAATAGTCAAATAACATTTCGACAGGCTTTGATCATGTTGGCATAATACAATGCCATCATCTGATTTTTGACGTCATAACAGTAAAGGTCACCGAGTACACCCATGTGGGATTATTAGACTCTTTCATGCCCAGGGGTGAAGGAGAGGGACATTCCATCCGAGGGGTTTTCAAATTTGGTAACACCCGAGGCTTTGTGAGGGTTTTAATCGTAAATATTGAATATATCATAAAAGGTTTTAATTTCATCACGTCGCCTTTTCCGCTTTGCGGCATCAGAGTTTTCCAAATTTGTGACATCCCTTCATTGTTGAGCCATTCTGTCGTCATGTCATTGAAATGGGGAGTCAGATAGAAATTTCTTCCACCCCATTCTTACCCGGGACAGCTCTACCTTACACACAGGGAAATGAGAGAAAAATGTATATTCCATATGAGTGTTCCGTATTGGACATCTGTATCCAACATATGTAGAGTTGGGAAAAATAATGTATTGCACTTTAACTATGAAAACATAAACGATATTGTCAATCGTCCTCTTGTTAGACAGGCTATAGGTACAGTGACCTTGGTCTTTATCACTACATTATGAAAGTCAAGGTCATTTTGAGTAATTTTGCTATAATAAGTTAAGCTTTTGATTTAATATGGAAACACTTGAGAATTGTGGCATTATTTTATATAACAGCATGAGATCAGTGTTATTAAGTTGGTGGTTCATAAAATACTGAAATCTATCTAATAAAGTAAGGGGTCTGAAACATTTAAAAATTCTGTATGTATATAGAGTCATATCCTATTAGCTCTGGTGTAAGTCTGTTAAATCTGTATATAAAGTGTTACGCAATAGAACTTATGTGGCAGATTACAAATGCTGATCTGATTAATATGGTAATCCAAATTAAATCCCAACCCTTCCCTAAACATGTCCCGATGGAATAAAACAAGGAAGGCGTTTAACTTTTATTTGCTTGTATATACCTAGCCAACAACATACCTTGCTTTCAGTCTATGGAATCTAAATACAGCTGTACAAAAATAATCATTTTTCATAGTTTTCATACTAACCTACTAATTTGATTTACGAAATAAATGTTAAAAACGAAAGAAAAACAACATGAAAAAAATAACAAGATGTATACCCAGAGAACAAGGTTATATGTTTAGAAAGACGGAAACAGGTGTCTGCGTCAGTTACAAGCTTGATAATCACTGTACACAGCACATACCAGCCAATTTCTCTTATAACCAGGATGCTTGGCATCTAATAATGGCCATATTTATGTCCTTTCTGATAGTTTGTTTGTGTATATAACTGAGAGTAGGTCAGAATTCAGACAGGTACTCAGTTACTAGGACAGGAACTCAGTTACTAGGACAGGAACTCAGTTACTAGGACAGGAACTCAGTTACTAGGACAGGAATATAGGGCAATATTTGTGTGTCAATAAAAACAGGCATGCTTGTTACAAATCAATACATAACATACTCCAGTATCATGACTCTAGTCCAAATGGTTCTAAAGATATTGTTGTTTGAAGTTTTTAACATATTTGAGCCTTGTGACCTTGGAAGTAGGTCAAGGTCATTTTAATGAGGAAGCTTTATAGCACTCCATATCAGGTACCTACTGGCCAAATATTATGACCATGTTGACCTTTGACCTCATTACTGTAATTAAGAAAAAGATTTGCAGTGCTTGTCTACATTACATACTCAAGTATCATGACTCTAGTCCAAATTGTTCTTAGGATATTGTTGTTTGAATTTTTGAACATATTTGAGCCATGTGACCTTGAAAGTATGTCAAGGTCATTTTAAAGCCAGGTGAGCTAATAAATTATCAATAACATGGTAAACAGACTACAATAGGGTAGTGCATTGCATATATCAAGCACATCCATTTCAATTTGAGAATTTGAATTACAGTCTGTGGTGCCGTTTCATGTCCTAACCAATATTCATCAACATATGTGTAAATGTTCATGAGCTTGAACCATTATCTGCAGATCCCTTTTACAGCTGTCTTAAAACCATTGTTCTTGAATATTTTGTTAATGTTTATGAATTAGAACAATGATCTGTCTGTATTTTGGTAAGTTTCAGGTCACTGAACAAGAACAGGTTGGTGTCAGTTCTAGTTTTCAGCCTCCATCATTCTGAGTACTACCTGCTCCATTTGCCTAACATTTGTTATCAAGGATACTTAAATGAAAAAAAATCACAATATTTTAGCAACCAATTAGCATCTTGCAAATCTGGACTCTAACTCGTTAATGTATCCCAACCGTAAGTTAAAACACAGCTGGACTCAGCATTATACGTGTTGATGGTGTAAGGGTTCCTTCTCACCAGTTATTAAAGAGGTGAATGTGTGTTTTGAGACCTGTTTCTGTTTTTACGTTAATAGCTTGGTAAATGTATATATATCCTCCAGTACTTAAATACTCTGGGGCCCCAGTTGGTCAATCAGGAAAGCCACTGTCCATTACCAGTCCTTCCAGACACATAATGGAAAGTAGACACCATCATGGCAATCAAATATCATCCAATGGTTTCTGATAAAGCCTGGTCCCCCTCGTGGGTGTAGGGATCTGGTAGAGGTACGTCTGTCTAACATATAAAACCTTGTGATGGAACACCTCATGACATGCAAGGTCTGTACATCAACGAAATAGTAGTCTCTAAATGACATGATGTGATATTAGGTTTGATAGTGGTCTTTAGCAACTATTTCTCATAAGATCTTTACTGAGTATTAAAGTATAGTACTGTTTAATTTTGTTAATAATGCTGTCTTGTTATTGTTAATGTCAGACCCTTAATCAATATAATCTTGTCAATACATATGCTTCCCTTTTAATTATTTTTCCTTTTTTGCTTTATTTCCCCATCAACATAACTAGCAACAGTCTGTTAACCAGGTGCAATCACATGTATGAAATTTGAATCCAAAATATAATCTAAATTTCATTTTAAAAATATCCTGTTATTTAGAAATTAGGAATTTAATATTTTTAACTCTTTTTATTTTTAAATGTGCTTTGAATGATTTGTTTATAACGTATTTTACCTACAGTATCGAGGCAGATTCCTTATTCTAGCACTTACTCATCATCTTTACTTAGTCAGCCTTGCATAGAACAATGAAATTCTGCATGATCAGATTATATTGTTTTCTGATAAAAAAATATAAACACA